CTCTCTCTCTCTCTCTCTCTCTCCCGCCAGCTTCCTCCCCGCCCATCGGCCCGCCAGCCTCCTCCCTCGCGCCCGCTCGCTACCACCGGCGCCGGCCCCGATCGCCTGCCCGCGCCCGCGCTCAGCTAACCTGTCGGTCCGCTATCGCCCCCGCGGCTCCTCGCGTCCATCTTCAAACGCGGTACCGTATTGCTCGTCCTATCGCACGCCCGCTATCGCCCTAGCGCTACCCGCTATCGCCCGCCTGCGCGCCAACAGTATCGTGGGCCTCTCGCGTCAACATTTGCTGTCGCACTGCGCCCTTCCGCCGTGCTCCGCCGTCCGCTATCCCCCGCCTGCGCGCCAGCAATTTCGCGGGCCTCTCCTCCGCTGAGACCTGGACCCCGCGGTCCCGCTGCCCAGTCTCAGACCCCGCGGTCCCGCTGCCCAATTTCGGCCTCCGACGAATTTCGCTGGGCCCGCGACAGGGCATGTCGTCGGGCCCTCTCCATCCTTTAGTATGTATAGAGATAAAAAAAGGACTCCACGCAAGAGGTGGTGAGGCACACCCCCCGGGCAAACACCCCTCCTCCGGGCAAGCACCCTCCACCTGGAACGGAACACCCCTCCTCCTGGTGGTAAAAAACCCTCTACTTGTGGTAAACAGCCCTCCTCCTCGTTAGTAAACAGTTTTAAACACCCCTCCTGTGTAGCATCGTGTTCGCTTTCGGTGACCGAACCCGAACGTTCGCGACCAAACGCGGACGAGCATCAAAACCCTCCGAACGTGAACACACACAGACAAAAAAAAAAAAAAAGTTTCTCAGAAAAACATCGGAAAAACAAAATATGTTATGTAGAATGGTAATACAACCAACTTTTGTTCGAGAGGAGTGTCCAAATTTGTAACCAAACTCGAGTTAAAAATTAAAAACCAAAACAAAACAAAAAAAAAATCATTAGAAAAAAAATCAAAAAATATGTTCGACCGAACCCCTTCGGATGTTCGGAAAAGCCCCGGACATGTTCAGTGTGCTACACAGCACCCCTCCTGATACCCCTGGTAGTGGCAAACACCCTTTCTTTTTTTATTTTATTTTTTAGGGCCACTTTGATTTCTGAGGGGCAGCAGTCTGGTTGCTTATCACCGGCAAGCATTTACAAAGTCTTTGGTTTAGAAGTGAGAACACTTTGGGATCTCTCTCGGCAGGAGTGTGTGACACGAGTGTGACACGAGTGTGGTTCATTGTTGCTCACAGGATCGAAGTGGATAACCTTGTAATACCGTGAAAGTTCCGTGAAAGCATGGAGACGATGCTAAATTTAGAAAGTGGCAAAGTGCTATGTGTCTAAATTTAGGGACCCGTCCTTTTCTTTGTAGTGGAGGAGTTGTTGTTGTTGTTCCTGTTGCTGCTGCTGTAATACCATTGGAAAATGGAAGCAGCAGAATGCTGACAGAACATAGCCAGAAATGAAGCCAGATGCAGTCAGTTAGCATTACCCTGGGAAGCCTCTGCAAATTTAAAAGGACATAAAGATCCTTTTCTTTTTCTATCTAAGTTTAATTCGGGAATGCGTTTCTAACTTTCTTCTTCTTCTTCTTCTTCTTCTTCTTCTTTTTCTTTTTTTTTTTTTCCAAAAAAAAATCCCATGAGGCTGGGAATTCCTCAACATCTCAACCTGGATAGAGCTGGGGCCATTACCCATATTTGGCTCGAGCTGCGTTTCTAATTTTCTCTTATTTATTATTATGTTCTAAAATCTTAAATTGACCTCTCTCAGCCTCTCTGAAAGGGAATTGGCTTTTTTCTTTCTTTCTTTTGGCATTGTAGAGCTATTTAAAATATTATTTCCCCCCCTTTCCTTCACCCCCCCCCACCTCAAGAACCTCTCTCTCTCTCTCTCTCTCTCTCTCTCTCTCTCTCTCTCTCTTGCCTTGCTTTGTTTTTCACATAGTCGACAACTCGGCTCATTGATGTGGCCCGTTCGGTGTCGGGTAAGTGTGATTGCAGGAGGAGAAGCTTAAAGCAGAATACGAGCTGAAAGATCAAAGGGATCAGCAATTGTCAGAGCAAGCTATGGGCCAAATCAAGGTTGAACTGGAAAAGCTGAAAGAGGACCGAAAGCGACTGAAAAAGGCCTTTGCTGAAGCAAGAGTATGTGCATATTTAGTTCACTGAATAGCTCTCTCCCCTAATACTCCTTTTCTTTCCTCCTCCTCTTCCTTCTCCCTTTCTCTTCCTCTTCTCCTAGTAGTGCCCTCCTCCTCCTCCTCGTTCTCCTCCCTTTTTTCCTCTTCTCCTAGTACGGTCCTCCGACAATTTTAGGAGGCTGAAACGAAACGACGGCGGCCGATGAGATTTATCAACTGCGGCCGTCGTTGGGCCCAGCCCTCAATTTTCTCGGAGTAGACTATTTTCCTGTTCTCCCAACAGTGGGAAAGGTAGTGGAGGTTTAAAAATTAAAACAGAAAAGTAATGGACTCCTTCGGGACATCCGTTAAAATTGGAACGGTACAGAGAAGATTAGCATGGCCCCTGCGCAAGGGGGGGGAAAAAAAGAAAAGGAAAAAAAGGGACAAAAGTAATGGAAATGCAAGGAATATGAGTGTGAGCGATATACAGAAAACCAAGGTGCGAAATCACACAGCTGTTCAAGTAGTCGTATCCCAAGCAGAGCGTACAAATGCACCGAGAAAACCATCCATATAGAGCAATGCAATGAAATAATGAGCCAATGTTCAAGCCGGTAGGCCACACCAACACAGTATCCAAAGTCACTCTGCTCTGTCTAGCGCCTGTCTCTTATACACATCTAGATGTGTATAAGAGACAGGTCTAGCGCTCAGCGCCCAGCCTACTCTACTCAACTAGCCTACCTACAGCTGGTTCACGCAAAAGGATCACTTCGACTCTCGAAGACCAATGTACATGACTGCCAACACCATCGTCGACCTCTCTTTATGTACCAGGTACGCATCTCGTCACCCTCAATCAGACCTTGCTTACCCCACACAGCGCCTCCTTCCCTGAAGACCACCTGATCATCCGCTGTACCCCCTGGCGCCCAGCAGCCCGGCTATGGCCGCCAGCGCCCTGCTGCCCTGCAGCGCCCCTCTCACCACCTTGCGCTCCGTCAGCGCCCCTGGCATTAGCGCAGCATCCAAGCAGAAGCACAGCAGCACTTCCGCATTGCCAGCGCTGGCCAGAATGCCTGGCCTGGGCTGCCTCCTCCCTTTTGTGGAAGTGGCAGCCTCCTGGATGCTGCGTGTGGCCTGGCTGGAAGCTTCCAGTAGCTTCCGGTTGGGTCCCAGACCCTGCGCCCCGGCCCGAGACTACAGTTGAGGGCCTGGGCCCCTTTGCAGTTAGGCACGGCCTGAGTCTCCGGACTGGGGGCTGTTTGCTGCATCTGTGCAGGGTTCCCCGGCAGGTGCGTTGGCACTACTGCTTTTGCAAAGGCCGAAGGCCTACTTCCCAATGTATCGGCCCTGCTTTGTGTATGTGTGCCCAGGCGCAACTGTCAAGGCCTGGGCCAACTGTATGACGCAGCAATGTGAGGCTCACACATCTTCCCAACCAACCGGCGTGCTGCGAGAGCGTGAACAGTGAATACCCACATATGGAAATGTCGAATTTTGCCTTCGACGAATATTCAGGCCCGCCTTCACTTAGGGCGGGCACTTGGCTTGCTGGGGGCCTTAGCCCAGAACAATGTGATGTCTGATAGGGCCCCTTGAGGGCTTGTTCCTCACAGAAATATTTTGAGGGGGAAAAAAGAAGAAGGAAAAAAAACTTAAAATACGAAAGTAATGGAAATTCAAATTTTGAGGGAAAAAAAGAAGAAAAAGTTCAAAAAAAAGTTAAAAAAACAACAAATACTGAGTGTATCCAGCCAGGACGCACACACTAGCTATGGCTCCCCCTACACTCTCCCCTTCATGCACGCAATTTAGCGCTGCTTTTCTCTCCTCTCTCTTTACACTCCCACTATGAATGACAAGTGAGCTTACTAGAGGTGAAAATCTGAAATCGTCATATTCATCACTTCCAGTGACTTCCTTGCTTTTTTTGAGTTCCCCCCCCCCCTTTCTTTTTGTTTTTGTTACTCCCCTGCTTGTCTTGTTGAAGAGTTTTTTTTTGGCTTTTTTTTTTTGCCTGGGTCTGCCCAGGGTTCTACTGGGTCCTACCATCTTCCCCCGAACGCAATGCACCCTGGTCCGATACAGTCATAACAAGGGTGCCTTGTGTTAAGAGGTGCATATAATTGTGTTAAAAGTTAAAACGTAAAACCTAAAAGTTAAAAGAAAACAATTGAACGAAAGTCGGTGAGCCCAGCCCCCTGTTTTTAGTCCTTTGGAGGCAGAAATAGACCAGGTTTGTGCTAAAAAGAAGGAGGCTGACATAGGTTCTAAAGACTCAAGTTCTGTTTCAGAGCTTTCAGCTCAAACGGAAAAGAGAAAACGAAAAAAAAAATTATCCCTCTGAAAACGGCGCGAGC